ATCTGCAAAACTTGTGAAATAACTTGGAATGTGCGTAGCGAGTTCAGTTACGATCACGCCACTGAAACGAACAGAACTTGCTGCGTCCGAAAAATGGAAATAAATGAGCCATCTCCGACATATACTTTATATGGTCGGAGATGTCTCCTTCACTGCGTTGCAAACTTCTGATTGAAATTATAATACCCTCTGCAAGGGTATAAAAAGACGCAAGAAATAGAGCAGAAGAGAGAAAAAATGTGTTCCATAGACGTGAGCACCTCTGCTCTAGAAGCATTAGCAAAGCATGCTAAGCTAGTTCAAAAGAAAAAGACCAGTACTTCAATAAATTAATTAAAATTTTATAAACAACAAGAAAGCAAGTAAACTTCGGCAAGCCGAAGTTCATATACCCTTGCAGCTATTTCAAAAACTAAATACTCTTGAAAACGTTAAAATTATGATTTACTTGCGTGTATGTTTAAAAACATTGAAGCTATAATGATTTGCAGCTTAATTATTCGATAGTTCCTATGGCAGCTATAAGATTGTTCCTATGGGAGCTATATGCTATAGTCGTCCGATTTTGATGAAATTTAAACCGTAATTCTGAAATATTAACCATTCATATATCTCGAAGAACTAGAAAAAAAATTATAAAACACCAAAGTTATAATTTTTTATTTTTTTTTATGATTGTTCCTATGGGAGCTATATGCTATAGTCGTCCGATTTTGATGAAATTTAAACCGTAATTCTGAAATATTTAACCATTACTATATCTCGAAGAACTAACAAAAAAATTAAAAAACACCAAAGTTATAATTTTTTAAAATTTATTTTTCCGATTGTTCCTATGGGAGCTATATGCTAGACGGCTCGTTTTGGAGTTTCACTTCAATTATTTGATCGTTCCAAAAGCAGCTATATGATATCGTTTTCCGATTTTAATACAACTAAAAGCGTTATTCTGAATTATTAAACCGTAGGAAAAAGAATCACAAAAAAAATATTGATAATTAGAGATGTTACGATTTTTAAAAAATGGTTTTATGTAATATTCCGATTATTTCAATGGGAGCTGTATAATATAGTCGTCCGATTTTGATAACATTTAAACAGTATTTTAAGAGCAAAATAATATTGTTTTGTATGTTATGTCCTGATTGTTCCTATGGGAGCTATATGATATAGTCGCCCGATCTGTCTGGATCCTGGAATACCTGCAATAGGAATACAATTTTTGGGAATGTTTTATGCAGATAGCTTTTAAACTGAGAGACTATTTTGCGTAGCAACAGACGGACACCGCTTGATCGACACTCCTAGTGATGCTGATCAAAAATATATGTATATGTATATGTAAAAGTTGACACGGTTCCCAGCAAAACGGAAGTTCCCAAGCTGATCGTGCATAATTGAATATAATAATGCAAGGCCAGCGACACCTGCGGACGTTGCACAACGACGTTGCCAAAATCCCAACCTTCAGTCAGCGCAATCAGCGGGCAATGCACTCCGATGCACTCCATGCATGGGCAGCCAGGACAGCACTTCTAGGCATACGGCTAGCTTTCGTTATAAGAATTAATGTACTTAGCAGTTAGTTGAATTTTGGAGAAAAAAAAACCGTGACGGTCAAACCTCGCAATTTGAAAGGCTTCTCATTCGTGCGGTACAGTGCGTCTTAAAATTAATCCTTTAAACTGGACATATAATTAATTGGCACCCAACGCGTCGTAAGACCCTTGACCTGTGTTAAATAAATAAAAAACAACGCGTCGTAAGACCCTCGACCTGTGTACAAAAAAAAACGCGATCGTAAGACCTTGGATTCGACGTTTAAATAAAAACATTAAATAAAAAAATATTTAAAAACGCGTTCGATTCGTAAAAAAAAGAAAAAACAACAAAACCGGGCAACAACAACAAATCAACCAAACAAAAACAAATAAGGAACGACTAAGAGCGAAACTAAATTAAAAGAAGGAAGAAACCGACAGCGGCAACAACAAGAGTTTGTATAATTAAATAAAAACCATGTAAGTAGAATGTTCATTGATATGTCTATTTTTTTTAAATTGCAAAATATTTTAAAAGTATTAAAAAAGTGATTTTCCAAGATTCTCAGTCAAAAAAAAAGACACAAGTTCGAAAACTTTTTTAAAAAAAATTAAATACAAAAAAAAACTAAAATCCTTGTTCTTTGTGTTTAAATCATATAAGCGTTAGAGAGATAGAAGAATTTTTAGACAGATTTCAGAATCTAAACCAATGACCAATGAATGAATTAAAATCCATTATAGAAGGCGCAGTTGCGAGCGCACTCGCCGCGCAGGAAAAGAGCTTTGAGCAAAAATTAGAAGATTTTCACAAGCGATTAGGTGGTTTAAATATCGGCACACCAGAAGTAGAAACGTAGAGAGATGCCGAAATCATAATAGGTATCGCGTGCTGCAAAACGTTAGATATTATGAAGTCCCTGCTGGACTTTAAGGGAAAGAATGAGACATACGCGGCGTATACCGCCTATAAAGTATTCGAAAAATATAATGGTAGTTCCAAAAACTACCGAAACAAAATAAAAAGCCCAGCCGATATGGTTCTTTCGTTTAAATTTTAAGCTAGTATTAACAGGCTTGACTTTACATACGCGGATAAACGACCGATATATTTAATAGAACAGGAGATGTCAACACACCGTACTATGACGAAGTAGAGAAAAATCTGACTCTGTTGATAAACAAGACAATTATTACCTACGACAGTGACCCACCAATGAAACCAATAATGAATACCCGGCAGTAGCCGAAGAGCAAAGTGAGAACATTGACGATGATCAAGTAGAATACGATGAAATAAATTTTTTAGGCATAACTCCCTACTCCTATTCATAGAAAGGGAAATCGCAGGGAGAAAAAAAAACTTTTAATTGATTATAAAAACGTTATTTTCGTAAATAAACCGTTCTCTACAAAATTAATTCGTGGTCACAACGCAATAAATCAAAAATGTATAATGAACCTTTTTAATACAAATACAACATTTTTCTTGCTACCAAACTTAACAACGTTTGATGGAATAATTGACGTCGTACTTGACCTAAAAGAAAAAAAATTAACTTATAGCAGTTCGGAGGAAATTAAATTTTTGAAGAGTGCAAATGTTAATTTTACAAATGTGGAACATATAGTTGTACCACAAGATATTGAAAAATTTTCAGGAAATGTTATGAAACCGTACGGGTGTATTTGCAGAGCCAAACGAAGCGCTGCCGTACAATACTAAAATTATCCCTAGACCTTGGTAATTTTCCAGCCCCTTGGAATTGTGCTCTAGTCACAATAGTACAAAAAAATGGAAAAAACCCGTGCTCCCTAGATTCCTATCGGCCGATTAGTCTCCTACCCACTTTTTTCAAGATTTTTGAGTGGATCATGCTTGCTAGGCTCTTAGCAATAGCTGCGTTAGATCACTAACCATACAACATATAGACTGGTCATTTCATACAACGAATTTTGACACAAAAATTTGAAAGCGAGAGGCCCCCAGGGCTCTCAGCAGCAGGCCCCAGCGGGTGCATTCGGTTTTGTTGCTCTCTCATTCTTATTCTCATTTTTATGCACGAGTTCAGTATTTCAGTCGCAAAGAGGTGCATTTTGAAGAAGGCTGCCCTGCGCTTGAATTTGTCTTTCGTGAAATGGCACCATTATGTCGAAAATCGTGTGTTGTCTCAGGACACCGGAGTGCCGACGGTTGTGCCTGCTGGATCACACAAACCGTCTGGCTAGACGGCTTGCTAGACCATTGGGTCGACGACGTCTCTGCAGACGGCACTCAACCGACCTGTAGATTATTGGTCGTGATAGAAACGGGCATAACAACATAACGCTGACAAGCTTGCACTTAATACCCGAATATTTGGCATCTTTGAACACTCCTACGCATACACGAAAACAAGGACCATTCTTGTGTGGCGTGTAAATAAAACAGTTTCCAAAAAAAAAAAAATAAATAATAATTTAAAATAAAATAACATAGAAGAGAAGAAACCTAATTTGTGAAAAGAACATTGTAATATTATTCCAATAAAATATATATTTTTTTTTATTTGAACGTTGATACACTATCGTCATTACAAGTTGCTCTTACGGCTCCAAGCAGTTCTTGTTCAGCGCGGACCCCAGATCGCGTGGAAAACGAGATCGCGAAAGGTGAAAGAATAGGGACGAAAAAGGAATGGACGAACTTATTCAAAAACCAAAATACTACACACTAATTTCGTGCTAAGTAAGATATAATTATTGCATTCAAAATTGATAAAGATTTGATAGTAGAAATTATGTGATAGAGTTTATTATAGTCATTACATAGTTCTAAAAGGTTCATGCAGATCATAGTTTGATCGACAGTGGTTTAAAATCATGGGAACATCGTTCCTAGTAATTCTATTAGGTACACAGAAATGTTGCGAGCCAGGACAAAGTAATATCAAGGATTGTTCTACGATTGAATAAAGTTGGTAAATTAATTAGAATAAGTCTACTAGAGTAAGATGGTAAAATTAGGTTTGCATCCCAATTAAGGCACTGCATTATGTACACTGTATTGGGGACTCCAAACTGGTGAGCAATACTCTAGAATTGGACGAACTACATAAATTAAGTTTTGAGTCCAATAGGATGCCAAGGCTATCAATATGTCTAATTCCAGTCAACTCACAACCACCTAACGTATCCACAAAAAGGTATCGATAAAATAATAGGGATTGCATACCAAGACTTAATTAGTACTGCCTTCACCCTTTTGGAAAGGGGGGTGAAAGTGGAGTTCTTTTGTCCGGGTAGCTAAACATTTTTTTGGATAATATGCTGAGTTGAAAAAATTATTCAAAATAACCTTTTTTTTTTTGCATATTTCAGAGCAGAAGGAAGCAAAAGTCATCAACTTGTCGAATTTTAGTAAACTAACAACCACCCAAAAGTATACGTGGCATACTTTGGATTAGCCCGATAGAATGTCATTACTTTGCATTTAGCGCTGTTTATTGGGAAAAGTCTCCGTTACAAGAAAAAGTCGTGAGACAGAAAATTATAATTTGTCAGACGAGTCCCAGGAATGGAACACGAGCAAACGAACGGACGAAACGGTCGAAAATGAAACACGCGAATTTGTAATGACGCTTACAAAATCTGAGGTGGACCAGCTAATAGTTGAAACTTCTAGACGGTATAGGGACAAAAATGGTAATGTTCGCCAAAGGGTTATAAATGTCCTGCAACCGAAAAAATGGACCGAGATTTTTTCGAAGAGAATATACGATGAATTTAGATTGTCCCATGGCTATCATTTTGAGAACCACTACATAAATTCAGATAAAACTGCTGGAAAATTCCAAGGTAGGTTATAAGATTCACAATTTTTTAAAAAATCTGGAACCTATGACTAATGACTGTGTCATTAATTTCTGGAATAATTAGACTTATTTGAACATATATAAAAAAAAAATTGCTTATATATACTTTTAAAATTTCGAATTTACCAGAGGTTTATAGTCAAAAAAATCTGGCATTATGTTATATTATTTTCTATCGCAGGCCATTGCAAGTGCGGCAGCAAAGTGCATGCCGAACTTTTGCCAAATCTCGAAAATGATGAAGTCTTTAAGATCATGTGCACCGCCACTAAAGGACAAAATAAATGTGGAAAACGACAGCTCCGAGGTCAAACGCGAAATGCGTTAGTTTCCAATTTGGAAAAGGAATCTACACTGTTCTATAGGGCCAAGAAAGCTTCCGAGCTTATGGGATCGGACGACGATTTAGAACCACCTCATTTGTATTCCGCATCAGTATGCAGAACCGCAAAATATGAGGCAGGAAAAAAACGATTCAGGAAGGTAGATCCACTGGACGCAATCTCTGACCTGAAAAGAAGTCGTAATGGCCAGGAAATTGTTCGAGACATTGGTAGAGATCCTGTTAAAGTTCTTTTTTGGTCACCGCATCAGATTCGCGTTTATAATAAACTAAGAAAACAGAGTGCCCTCTGTATCGATGCTTCTGGTGGGAGGATTATGGAGTACAGACACATTGATGGAAAGAAATCGCAGCATATATTCCTTCACATTGCTGTGCTACACTCTGCGTTTGGGCAGTTTGTTGTTTCGTCGATGCTAACAGAGAAACAAGACATGGTTTCAATAACGACATGGCTTCTTAGATGGATACAAACAGGAGCACAGTACCCTAAAGAAGTGGTAATTTTATAAAAAAAAAAATTAATTATAATGAATATATATAGATTTAATTTATTGCAGGTGTGCGATTCTTCAAGGGCTTTGCTGTCAATTTGTTGTTTGGCGTTTGCGACTTTCGACACGGTTGAAGCCTATGCAGACGCTTGCATGTCTAATAATATGCCGAGGACTTACATCCGCATTGATGTCGCTCACTATATGAAGAATTGGGCCGATTTTTTTAAAACCGAAAAAAAGCTTGTAAAGCGCTTTATTTCGGAATTGGTCAGCTCATTTTGTCGACAAGTCCAGAAGACGCCCGAAGAATTATTAAGGCGTTGTTAATAATTTCTTTGTGTAAAAGAGGCGGAGAAGGAGCACTGGTTTTAAAAGAATCGGTTAAAATAATCGAGAGACAAGCGAAGCAAGAAAGTGAACTAAATGCTCTTGTTGACGCGACTGAACTAGCAACAAATGTCCATACCTTAGGTAAAATATGTCATACATTTAGTTTTTAAGGTAATTAGTTGTAAGCTGGTAAGTCTGTTTTACACGATTTGTATGTCGTTAATGTATAACATTTAAAAACCGAATTAATACAGCAATCTATATATGAATATTTATATATTATCCAAACTCTATGTTCTAAGATGTCGAGTCTGTTTAATTGTTCTTTAGGTCAGACTGAAACCACTTTCGATGATGAGTATACGGATAGCACTACAGGATACCTTGCTGATTGGGCTTTATCCATAAAACAAGAAGTGGACGAAATTGTGGAGAACGAGAGAGGAGACGACCTCAACCCACGTGAGTGCGCGCAGTTTTGTAAACGGCTACTGAAGCACCTCAGGACCATTCCGTTGTGGTCTAGTATTGTCCGAAACAGTTTTGGATTCGGAAGAATTCCAGCCAGTAGCGCTCCAGTAGAGATTGAATTCAAGTCAATCAAAAATTCAGTCCTAAAATCCAAAACCCGTGTGGACGTAGCAGTAGACAAGCTGGTAACATATTTTAACGGAAGCACCAAATTAATAGACTGCTCCACAAAAGTACAAAATGACGTAAACTTTAAAGATGTGGAGGGTTGTAACGAAACTGTTGATAGTGAAATAGCCCAAACTGTTTCAAGTTTCCAGCTAGAGTCCCTCATGGACATCAGCAATATAAGCAATGTGTCATTAATGAGTGCTACAGAAACTACAGACACTTGCTATTTATGCAAGAAATTGGTCAAAGGCGGACGAATCCAAATTTGCGAGGACTGTTTCGAGTCGTCCCACAATTCACCCAGAGGGGCGTTGAATGGGGTAGAGAACTGGAGAGGCTTGGGAGAAAACAAAAAGAAAAGAAAATAAATAAAATAAAATAAATAAATCAATAAGGAAAATGTCGATTTCAATGATATTTTTTCTCAAAAATTAACCACCTTGCCCATTTTAAGAAACGGCAACGATTCTACACTAAGCCTGGTAAAGGTAGAGGGATCGACCTTTCCTTTGCAGAACACGTGTGCTTTCGACAGCCTTTTTCAGGTGCTCATAGCTGGAGTCTCAGACTCTGAAACATTAAAGTTATATGTAAAAAAAAAGAAATGAGAACGCTATGTTTGAGTGTTATCGAAAGTAAGATCGATGTTCAGTCATATAAAAAGCGAGCACAAATTATGCTCAGCTTTTTTAAAAAGCAACCAATGAATTGTATCCAAAGTGTTGATTGCACTTGCAATGTTGTGAGCCTGGCCAATTTTATATTTAAAGCCACTCCCTCGTTTAAGGAAATTTCCTTTTGTCCTTCTGGATGCAAAGCCCGCATCACTGAGTTGCCATCAATAACCGTAACTGCACAGGAGTTACGCGGAAGTCTAGAGAGTGCTATACAGCAGCATGTAGCCCTAGAAGGCACTAGATGTCGCCAAGATGCCTGCACACAAATAAATAAAAACACCATTCATGAGATAGGTAACAACTTAATTTGTTTAACTTTAACTAAATGATTAAAAATATATTTTTATAATTTCTAGGTGACATTGTGCTGATTGGTGTTGACATAGACCACCCAATGCTACTCTCCACCATTCCTGATATCTTTCAGAGTCCAAAAACTCAAGATAATTTACTTTAATAGGCTTCATCGATTTTGTTGGTCCGCCTGTGTCAACAAGAATTCAACATTTTGTGTGCCACTACAAAGCCTTCACACGTAGGAGCACATATTGGACGGTTTACGATGACTTGTTAAAAAAACCGTACTGTCCTGATAAAAATCAAAATGTTAAACCGGAGTTGTTAATTTATGCAAAGATATAAAATAAATAGCAATTAAAAATGTTAAGCCTAAAATTTGTTTTTGCTTACAGTGGGGCTGTTAGGACAATAAATTCTACTTAAAAGCAACCTTTTTATTAATTTAAACAAAAATCCTTAAAACAGGAGCGGCAAATTTGATTCTTTCACGAATAATTTACGGATAAATAACGGCAAATTCCAAGCTAAAAAAATTTTGGAAAAGTTAAAGTTTAATAAGATGACTTGATATCAAGTTAGCAGAACAAATTTTTTTCTTTCACGAATAATTTACGGATAAATAACGGCAAATTCCAAGCTAAAAAAATTTTGGAAAAGTTAAAGTTTAATAAGATGTTCTGCTAACTTGATATCAAGTTAGCAGAACAACTATGTTTTTAAAAAAAAAAATCCTTAAAACAGGAGCGGCAAATGTTTTTCTTTCACGAATAATTTACGGATAAATAACGGCAAATTGCCAGTTAAAAATTTTTTGGAGAAGTTGAAGTTTAGTAAGATGTTCTGCTCACTTGATATCAAGTTAGCAGAACATCTCATAATTTTTAAAAAAATTGAGCGGCAAATTTTTTTCTTTCACGATTAATTTACGGATAAATAACGGCAAATTGTCGATAAGAAAAAAGTTTAAATTTCAAAAGTTGTTCTGCTAACTTTATGCACATCCGAAAATGGTTGACAGACTAATTTTGGACAAGAAAAATCATTAGAGCCTTAAAATTTTAATTTATGATCTTTTTTATGGTTTGAAGGAATATTAACGAGATCTCAACTTTCTTGTTAAAGGGTAAAGGATATTTTATCATAACATTCTTCGATTTAATAGATTTTTTTCATTAAAAGAGAATCGATTACTTCGCAGCTCTACTGTGGGCGTAACCTACAAAAACCACCGAAACAGATTGTATTTTTAGGAGCTTTAGGAAAAGATTTTGAGTGCGAACAAGCTCCTAAGAGTTTTCTTTATTTCTACCATTGTGATTGTTTAGTTGCATGCATTTATTCTGTTCCCCAAAGCGAATGGGCAGTAATTATGGGAGTGACATAATTTGCCTGACGAACATAAATTGGGTGACGAAAAACCGATAACCTATTTTTGTTAGCGTGTTTTTTGGCATAGGGTTTTTGTAGTTTTATTAACTTTGGGTGCGTTAGTTTTCTTGCTTAGCTGTGGGCTTATATTTATCTTTTTAACTGCACATAGCGATCGACTCCAGTTTGTAATGCGCTCGTTTTTAAGTTCGAAGTCACAGTTTTAAACGAAGGCATTTTGCCGGTTATAGTTGTTATTAGCAGTTCGTTGTTAAGGTTGGGGGGTGAGCATTTTGGCTCGTAGGTAAGCGTAATTTGTGGTTTGCTGTATATGCCGAAAATGGGAACATATATTAATATACGAAAACAACGAACTTATATATAATATTTGTTGTTAGTTTTCCGATTGTTCCAATTATTCATATATGCGTCTCAACAACTGAAAATTTATTGATGATAAAGATATACTTTGGGTATTCTTTAAACGACTTAATTCTGAAATACTGACAAAAAATCTAATTTATTAACATTCAACAAAACTTTCAGCTGCCTTTGGGCTGCTTAACTGGTAAAATTTCAGCGTTGAATTTGCAATTTGGAGATTCAGTCGTTTAAAAAATATACTATTTACTATATTACTTTTTAGTTTTGAAAAGGTTTCATTTTCTGAGTTATAAGCCCTTGATTAAAATATACTTTGTGTTTCATATAATTCAATGAATATTCTTCGGTTCAACCAAATAACAATCAAAGCTGCTAAATAAAACGCCAGTTGTATCAGAAATTTATGATGTTAGACCTGGTTTCTTCCTCATTAAGTGTATGTATGTATCTTCATATATTTTTTACCTGGGGTCTGGTAAAACTAATTTCTTGCTGGCCCTTGCAGCTGGAGTACATTTAGACTTTTCCATTGCCATCAAATAGCTGACATCAGCTAAAACCGCTTCCAAATCCGCCATGGCCTTTATTTAGATTGTGTTTACTTGTGTTTATTATTTAGTTGTGTTTAGATATAGTTCAATTGGTATTGTTTTTTTTGCACATACTGGACTAAGAACAACTTAAGTTTAATGGAGCATTTTTGTTTCGTTACTGATATCAACAAAACTAAATGGTATGTATATATTTTCAACAATCAATTTTTCTTGGTTGTAGCTATTAGAGGTGGAGAAACATCGAACAATTCATCTATGCAGCGATACTATTAAAAATATTGGAAGTATCGATGTTTTGTGGCGACTATCGATGTTATTACCACATCATTAATACAAGGGGAGCTCATAATGTATCTGGGTTAAAACAAATTTGAACTGCAAATCATTATAGCCTATTCACATTACAATATTTATTTGGTGAAACGATGTTTAAACTGTGATTTGCATATTTTAAAATTTGGCAGATCTAATGTGGTTAGGCTTTTATATCCAACAGGTAACTTAAGGAACGATTGTGGAATTTTGCAATGGAGAAAGTAATACACTTGACCACTTCGAAACACTCACACCTTTTGGAAATTCTATAAAAACGAAGGAAAATACGAAAAAATATATGTTTACAATAGATAGCAACTGAGTTCCACTTTATTACAAATTAAAAAAAATGACCGATTAATTCCAGACTCTGTAGAGGAGAGTAATAGCCTGATTCCATTGCCGCATTAGTGGACTTTTTAAATGTGCCTGATTCCATTGGCGCATTAGCATTAAGCTAATGCTACTCCGACATGTGAGTGGCACGAACAGCTGATCTGGGTTTGTTTACTTTTGAATTCTGACAAATCCAAAAGAAATTAATTAAAAACAATGAATATGAGTGAGTTTACTCAATTCTTTCATGCTTAGCAGGACATCCATAACGCGACCGAGGCATATGCCAACTTGGACGACAAGGAAGAGAAGCTGATTGCGTTGTTATGACGGGTGTGCAATGGAGACCACCACAGTTTCTAAAAAGGGCAAGGATCCCCGTATATGTGGGAGTTATTTCTTGCTACAGATCCAGTAGTAAGGCATTGTGGTACTGCAAGCAGAATTTGCAGCGTGCGCTCTAGGTTTCAGTCATTTTTATGCAAAATAGATTTTATATTCAAAAGACATCGAAAATTGCGCCAACCTTGCTTATGGAAAACAGCTGTTGTAGTGGTGGCACGAACAAAATATCGTTAAACATCGGTATTTTCCGGTATTTTTTCTAAAAAAGTTCGGGGCGAATAGTTTTTAATCGCATTTAAAAATCGCGTTTATTTTAAATGCGGCATTTAGCCTTATGGGATTCCCTGTGTAAATAAATGCGCATTTGGCTAAATGCGTTTTAATGCGGCAATGGAATCAGGCTATAAGAATGCCGGGGTACAGATCTCAGTCAGATCCAGAATCCTTTACAAGAAATTTGTAAATCATCAAAACACCAGACTGGAGAGTCAAGCCTTCTTTTAGAACCGATCTAAGAACAAATCTTAATACGTTGGGAGGTAGTTTCAACTTCGGAAACGCTCGGCTTTCCTTCCATTTGTACTTTTCGATGGAATCCTTCTACAGCGCACTGTTAGAATGAACTAAGAAACGTTCCTTGGGAATATGCATAAATTTAGCAGTACAACTTTCAAAATCTAAAATTTTTTTTTACCATAATTTGCCGTTAATTATCCGTAAATTATTCGTGAAAGAATAAAATTTGCCGCTCGTGTTTTACTAATTTTTTTTTAAACAAACCCTGTGTTCTGCTAACTTGATATCAAGTTAACAGTACACAAAACTAAACTTTAACTTTTCGAAAAATTTCTTTTGCAGGAATTTGCCGTTTATTATCCGTAAATTATTCGTGAAAGAATCAAATTTGCCGCTCGTATTTAAATATTTTTTTTTAACAAACCCTGTGTTCTGCTAACTTGATATCAAGTTAACAGTACACAAAACTAAACTTTAACTTTTCGAAAAATTTCTTTTGCAGAAATTTGCCGTTATTCGTGAAAGAATAAAATTTGGCACTCGTGTTTTAATATTTTTTTTTTTAACAAACCCTGTGTTCTGCTAACTTGATATCAAATTAACAGTACACAAAACTAAACTTTAACTTTTCGAAAAATTTCTTTTGCAGGAATTTGCCGTTTATTATCCGAAAATTATTCGTGAAAGAATAAAATTTGCCGCTCGTGTTTTAATATTTTTTTTTAACAAACCCTGTGTTCTGCTAACTTGATATCAAGTTAACAGTACACAAAACTAAACTTTAACTTTTCGAAAAATTTCTTTTGCAGGAATTTGCCGTTAATTATCCGTAAATTATTCGTGAAAGAATAAAATTTGCCGCTCGTGTTTTAATATTTTTTAAAGTAATAACAAACAAAATTTAACACATGCATAAATAGATATGTATATGAAACACGTGGACGCCGACAGAGCTCTGCTAGTTTGTCAATGTGTGTGCGACGTGGCGGCATAGGCCGACACGTACTGTGTACATGTTATAATATGTTATAGATGTGTGCCGACCACTGTGTCGTATTCTGCCGCCGCGCTGCTGCTGCTGCCCAGCCGGCAAAATAATACCACCCCAGTCGGAAAAAACACGCTTCCAGGATGCGTTCTTTTACGCTTCCTTTGCAAGCGAAAAACGCATTCCAGATCCCTGAAAGCTTCCTTTCCTTTTTGTTCGAGACGGGACAAAAAGCAAGCCTTCTTTTAGAACCAATCTAAGAACGAGTCTTAATGCGTTCCATTGGAAGGTAGTTTCAACTTCGGAAACGCTCGGGTTTCCCTTCCATTTGTACTTTACGAAGGAAGCATTCTACAGCGCACTGTTGGAATGAACATAGAAACGTTCCTCGGGAACTCTCCCGGATAGCTTCCAAAGCAAGCATTGCGTAACACATCTAAAGAATGAATATTGATCCCTTCCCCAAGAACACATTAAGTATGATTCCAAAACTAGCCTTCTAATTGTCTTACCCAAGAATGCAAATATTATCCTTCCCAAAAAAGCTATTGGGAACCGTTTCTTTTTTCAATTCCAATTTTTATTTATTTAATTTTTTTTAATATAAACATGCTTTAAAACTTATTGTATTACTCCTGGCCGTTTTCGTCCTCTCTCATCTTTTTGTCCAAACTTTTAGCCTTGTAAGTTTTATTTTTGGCCCTTGAGAAGGCCAGTCGAAGGTCTTTAATATGGTCGGTGAAGCGGTAACCGTCCCTTCTTTGTGACTCTGAAAATATAATAATGAGAAAATATAATATAAAATATAATAATGAGAAGGAAATATGTAATTTTATTAAAATATGATTGTAAGTTTGTAAAACACTTACCGAATAATGTTCCATTTAAATGAATGTAGGACGCAAAACCTTCCCTGTCCCTAGTACCGCCATAATTAAGCTCCATTATCAAACTTGGACTTAATATCTTATTGAAGATCTAGATTTTCCGAATTCAAAAGTTTTTAAAAGTGCATCAATATGAACTCTAGTAACATTATTATTATGGTACCATTCTAATAATTTTTCACGGAGATTCATAGGTATCATACTCATAAGAATAGTTTGATGCACTTTTATCCGATTCGGGTTCACATAGGCATTCATTTCCAGAATTATTTTCTGTATCAAAAGTAAGAGCTCTAGCAGCCGATTGCTGAAGCTCTTCCTTTTGTTTTTTCGTTAAGCGATGAATATTTGACCGCGACATTCCCCTCATTTTAAATTATATTATTTATGTTTGTTTTGTATAATATTTTTTTCAATTAAGTTATTAAATTTTTTTATTTATGTAATGTTTATTTATTTAAATTTATGTTTATTTTTCTTAAATTTTTGTTCACTTAATTTGTGTTCTTAGGTCCACCCTAATAAAACACAACTTTTATGTAGATGTAAGTCCACCCTAGGTAGAAGTAAAAGGAAGAGAGAAAAAAGAGAGCACACAAATAAACGAAACGAGTTCAAAAAACACAAAATTTAAATTTATGAAATATATATAAATTACCTTTTGTTTTGAACTAGTTCTTCTGGAACTAAACGAAAATAATATTTAAAACGCATTAATTAAATTAACAGAATTTATGGATATGTATTTATTATTAAATAAAACTCAAGTCTTATTGCAGTGTACGCTCAAATAAATAATTATTTTTAGTTGTTTGATTAACAGCCACACACAGTTTTAGGAACAATTTGTTTTGACCGTACACTGTATATAAGATTGTTAATAAGTGTTTATAAATTTAATGTTTTTTTGGCACAGGTACACATCACATATTGTTTTAATTAATCTAGTGTTTGGTTCATGTTATTTTATGAACAGTATTGGAACTCCTTTATATGTAGTTTGTTTATATTAACACTATACTTACCTGAAAATTAAAACCGCAAAGAATATATAAATTTCACAATTCACAAATCAAATCAAACACCAGCTATTTCAATTGAAAATCAAAATGCAAGTGGCGAGAAATGCAAAAGAAACGAAAAAGGCCGCGCGCTTTCTTGCCTTTTCCCTTTTGTTCTTGTCGTTTGCTTTTTAGAGTACCGTTTTGTTCGGTTACTCCTTGTGTATACAGTGGCGGAGGAAACTATAGCGCCGGCAAATGTAAAATAATAATTCAAAACGCTTTAAAAAGGAATCATGTAATCTTGTATATATAATTACCTAAAATTAAAATATATAAAAAACTGCTTCAAATTAATAATTTTCTAATACAATATAAAATATATTAAATATTATTATTAATAAAGTTAAATATTAATATTTCTTACAGAATTAATTTTAGAAAAAGTTTAACAAGTCATATACCACCAACATAACAAAGCGTTCAGATATTGTTTATAAAGATAAAAAGTGAATATATTTACGTCGCTGCTGTTCATTAAGAAAAATAGATTACATTTGTTTCCCATTTTTTTGTCCATTCAAAAACAAGACTTCTTTTTGCGTTCTTTGGTAAGCGAGGTTTTCGGTGAAAAACACGAACTCAAAAATATCGGACGATCGGCATCGTTCGGGTTTCAGTTTTTTTTTTTACATTGCAAAAGAAGGCTTTTTTATGCATTGTAGTAGAAGGGACGATTTCACAAAAACTCTTTAGAATGCATAAAAAATGCTTCTTTATAGCTTGTTACATTCTTTTTCGCTTGCAAAGCATGTATGAAAGAAGCTTTTTTTATTGGAATGCGTTCTCTAACTTCCGACTGGGACTGTTTGC